ATTTGTAGCTTACTAGGAAATTATAAACTCTTGATAATTCTGCATATGAAATTTCACAGTATTGAATGTTTCAGGCAATACCTAAGAGGTTTCAAATCTTGAAGCACTGCAGATTTTGGATTTGGGGATATGACTTAATTTGAAAGCCAGTAGAAATAACTTTCATCCCACTTTTAAAATTAAAGTTATGTGTATTCACTTATTTTTATGGCTTTCTCCTCTCATTCTTTAGTGAATAAAACTCTTAAAAAAAAAACAAAACAAGCAACTTGCACATTTGAAGCTCCTCATAAGGTATGTAGTGTGTGGGGTGTGTGTGTTTGTGTGTGTGTGTGTGTGTGTGTGTGTGTTTTTCCTTGTAATTTACCATGGCCAAAGTGTTGAAGTCAGAGGAAAAGTTGAGAGAGTTGTTTCTCACCCTCTACCAAGTAATTGCAAAGATTCAGGTCATCAAGCTTTGTCAAAGGCACCTTTACCCCCTGACCCATCTCACTGGCCCTCAAGTGTCTTTCTTATAAAGGGCCAAGTAATAAGTGGCTTGGCTCAGGAACCAGAGCATCCATGTTCTAGAGCAAGCACTCATGTCGATCAGCTTAAAAGTCACTACTGACAACACACCAAGGAGTGGGTGTGACTGTGTTGAAATAAAACTATTCACACCAGTGAGTAGATCTATAATAAACCTGACCTGGCCAGCCTATGGTTTGCTGAACCAGTCTAATGTGTGGGAAGAGGCTTGAGCACAATAAAAATACTCGAGGGAGAGTAAACATCTCGGAAGGAGAGAAAAGCAAGCCCGTGAACAATCTAGTCAGAAGATCACTATGAGAACAACCAGGAAAGAATCAACAGCTCAGGAACTTGACTGTTGTTGCTCTAGGGCATTTTGCTCTCAGGTAAATGGGAAAGTCCAAAGGAGAGTATGACTACCTAAGACACATGGGGCAATGTCATTAAACTATAATAAAAAGCAGCTGGGTGTTGGTGGCACACGCCTTTAATCCTAGCACTCCAGAGGCAGAGACAGGCAGATCTCTGTGAGTTTGAGACCAGCCTGGTCTACAGAGCAAGTTCCAGGATGGGCTCCAAAGCAATACAGAGAAACGCTGTCTTGAAAAACCAAAAATAAATAAATAAATAAATAAATAAATAAATAAAATGAATAAAAAGCATGTTTATAAGAACCTTAATTTCCTTGTTCTAGGAAAAGAACAAATTAAAAAGAGGACTCGATTCACTTGGAAAGTAACAAGGCCGGCTTACCTGGCTGAACTTGCAGTGAGATGGTCAGTTTCTGTACACCATTCGGGCCCTTCATTTCCACTCGACAGCAGTAGAGACCACTGTCACTCACAGTGACATTCTTAATGGTCAAGGACACATGTCCTTCAAGATTCTGTCCCTTAAGCTGGTAGCGATTGCTTGTCTGATAGTAGATCCTGTGGCCATCAGTCCAGATAAGTGTTTGTCCACATGTATCCCTACATTCCCCTCGGCCCCAACACATGGAGGAGATGCCATTAGGCACTGGATAACTACATGGCAGTGTCACAGGGTGACCAACCACTCCGTGCACTTCTGGGAAGGAAGACACAGCAGCTGTGATATAAAAAGAGAAAGTGGGATTGGAGAAGGAGCACTCATCGTTTGCTTACAATTGAACTTAATTCTTCATTTCTTTCCCATTTTTCCTTTTGGCTCAACTGAGACCTGAACCTGAGGCATAGGGCATGGGAGACATGTGTTCCATCATTATGATCCAGCCCTTCTTTGCATTTTCTTTGTAGACATTTCATAGCTTAATGTTTTCACTATCAACAATTTTCTTCAGAGTGATTATGTAATGGTTATGTGTGTGATAAAGCAACTTACTGCACTGTATTATATTCACACAGTAGCTTTTTAATACTTTTTATTTATTCAGCCCCATTCCTTTTTCTTTTTGAAATAGAAATCACTAGGTAGTTATCACAGGCCTAGAACTCTCTATTTAAATAGGCTAGCCTAAAACCCTTGGATATCCACCTTTAACTCTGCCTTTGACTGCCTAGATTAAAGGTATGCACTACCATGCCTGACTTGTTGGCTCGTTTTCAGATAGTATCTTGCTCTGTAGCCCAGGCTGGCTCATATTTACCATCCTCCTGCCTCAGAATCCTGAGAAATGAGACTTCAAGCATGTACTGCAAACATTAGCTCTAAGTCTTAAAATGCTAAAGCTGCTCTCCCAGAATCTGTGCATGATGATGGGTGCCTGCCAAGCTGGAACTGGAAGGTGAAGTCAGGAAACTAGTGAATTAACAACCAGCCTGGGCTTATGAGCCTCTGCCTCAAACTGACCATAACTCCCCTCAATGCTACTGAAAATGATACCACTCACTTTACCCATCTCTTCTATACAAAGCATAGGTCTTGTTTGCAGCATTATTCATGTAAAGATAGAACTTTACTAGCTTCAACATCAATTTTCAGAATCCCTCTGTTTGCTCATATGGTTTTCATTGATTTTGTGAGACAAAGTCTTCTATGTAACCCTTGCCTATCTTCAGTATTTAGAACTTTGTATGGAGAACTGGCTGCCTGACTTCATGGATTTCCGCCTGACTCTACCTCCCCAGTGCTGGGATTAAAGCAGTGCACATACAGGGCAAGTTCACAATTTACTTTGTAAAATATTCAAGAGGACTGAGACTTTAGGATCAGTCCTAAAAACAAAACAAAAAAAATACCTGAGAAAGGATCCCTGCTTATAGGTTGGTAACATTCCAGAATCTGAACAACACTTACTTATAAAGTGCAGTCACATTTCATAATGTTAATCAAGAAATAAACCATTCAGCTTTTAAACCTAAAATAAAATTGGGATATGTGTCTGTTGAGATGATGAACTAAAATCCCTATTTTCAATTGCTTCCATTTAAGGGAGATCTCAGGGCTGAAGATGCAGCTCAAGGGTACCATGCTCACCTCGCCCGTGCCAGCCCAGGAACAAACAGATAAGCAAACAGCATAAAACAGTGAATTGCAAGATTCATTAGCCAGTCACCTGCCTTCAGGGCTAGGCCATGAGTGTAGGACATGGTCTGAGACAGCATGCTCCTAGTTCTGTAAAATGAATGTGTAAGGGGTGTGTAAAGGGACACTCGTCACTTCATTTTACCTAATAATGTTTTTAGGATCACAAACATAATACACATTATAATAAAATTATAGAAATGTCTGGTGAGACTTAACAACCTTCCACAATTCCGAGAGGTTAGATTGTAAAGTCAGAATACGTACCAGATGAAGGAGGTCACACCTATAATTTCAGCTCTTGGGAGATAGGGACAGGAGGAGCAGAAGTTTGAGATTATACTTAGCTGTCTATTATGTCTGGGGTCAGCCAATGCTATCTTGTACTCTGTCTCAAAAATTTAATATGCAATTCAATACTTTCTCCTGTATCACGGAGTGTTTTCAGTTACCATTTCTAATTAAGTAATTGCAGATGAGGGATTTTAAGAACAGATAGGACAAATGAAGATTAGGTTACCCTTGTATGTCCTTTCTTCAGCTCTCATGCATTAACTACAACATGCATGTACTGTACCCACCCTTACATGGATGTAACATGCATGTACACATATTCACCACTTACCTGACAGTCTTGTGGGTATTATTTTTTTAATTCAGATATGTTAAGAAATTTCTTTAGATCTACAATTTCATCCTGGCTTTGTGCTGCAATACAGACTCCAGAGAACCTATTTTTCTTCTGAAGCTCCATCCTCCTCGCCCTCCCCAGATCACCTCTCACTTACCTGGGAGAAGGAGTAACAGGACTGATATGAGGACTTGAGTATGCCTCATGGTGTTGACCTGAATGAACAATGACAAGGCACTCTGGTTGGCAGTCACTCACCACACTGTATCTGAGAAGGTCTCATCATGAATGTATGATCAAATAGACCTCTCTGCTAGGACCTCCTCTCTTCCCAAACAGCCTCTTCTTCCTGGTCCTTCCCCACATAATAGTCATCAATCTCACTCCTGGTCTTGGCACAAGTAAGACAGCAAACAGAAAAAACTTGAAGGTAGAGATAAGAGTGTGTTTCCTTGGTGAAACCCTAAGCAAGGATGAATCTTCTAATGGCAGTGTACTTGCACTCTGGTGAACTAGTGGCCATTTCTGCTCAGGAGCCACAGTGGTTGATCACTAAGCCTCGATCAAGTTCATTATTAGCAAGATGGACTGAGAAGAATGGAGGTGTTGTGTCTAAGCACATTGTCCCATACAGTTCAAAGACAAGGATTTTGAGGTTTTTCATTTAATTCCACTAGTAGATTGGGGCTAAGGAAGTATGAACATATAATACTCTCATTAAAACATTAATATTGGGCTGCTGCAATGGCTCATGGTTAAGAGTGTCCACTGCTCTTACAGAAAACCTCAGAGAGGTTCCTAGCACCCATGTAGGGAGGCTCACAACCACTATCCCTGGAGATTCAGAATACCCAAACATTCCTCGGTTACCATTGCTCCAAAACAACATCACTACACACAGATACACAAAGATATTCAAAATTAAAACAGCAAATATAATCTTATAATATCCTTTAAATCATATATTCATAAAATTATATACAATCCATTTTACTATACAAAGTACTAATATAATAATACATTTTTACTCATTTCATATATTTGGTTACTGTCTTGAAGAGAATACACATGATTCTATGAATCTATACTCTATCATGTAGCTTGCTTCTGTCTATGAAATAAAGGTTTGTTTAGAAAATGTAGACTACATCCTTAACCTGGGTGGAAGAACACATAAACATAAGGGAAAAACAACAAAGAAAGCATAAAGGAAGGTAAGGGAGCTCTTATGGCAGGTTTGGACAAGTATGGTGCAACCTTAACTTGGACTGTCCAGCTTCAATGGATTTGCTAAAAGCTGCTCATCTTCCCAGACTGACCGCTCCCTTCCCATCTCCAACACTCCAACTAAAGCATAATTTAGTTACTTCTGCCCTTGGCTACATCACCACTAACGCAAAACCTCAAATGTCGACAGCCTATTGAGGCTCTTTACACTGCATGGAATTCATTTCATATAAAATTTCCTTATTTACTACCAAAAAATGTCAATGAATGAACATCACAGCACTATATCTATGCCCTCATCTCCCTGGTCTTATTTCATTGTTATTACATAATATTGCATGTTTTTATAGTTACTGTCCTAAATCATTGGTGCTTAATTCAAGAGTAACAAATTATTTTCTACAGTTTTTATCTTATTTCTCATGTTAACTTTGCTTAAGAAGGCTTGAATAGCTCATCTATGAAGTCCATCATTCCATTTAAATGAAGATCCACCTTCCAAGAATCCAGAGAATTCTATTGGATGCTAAGTTGCCCTAATGTCTAGAGACTCACTCCCCATTGTCCTAATGTGCCACGTACAACCCCACATCATGCCATATGCAATTTTGCATGGTACAGAAACTCCACAGAGCACGATCCTCTGCTTCTCTCTCATATGAGTCTGTAGAAGACCCGGCTTACCTGTTACTAAGAGAGTGGAAACTTCTTGTTCCAGTTTCTCCTTCTTGCCTTCTGCTGTTGATGGATGTTTCCAGAGCTATTTACAGATAGAAGAGTCTCTCTTATAAGTCCATCCTTATCTCTGGGCCACACTATCACCTGTTCTGTGTGAAATCTGAGTCTCTCCAGTTCTCCAATCCACCTACTAGATAGCATCTACTCACTGATAAAAACAGACTATAGGAGAACATAAGTGAGTGGGAACATTGCTAATGTGCCCTGGGCTGTTTCCCAAGTGCAGCAAAGATCTTCACTTGAGGTGTGACTCTAGGCCTGGGGACCATGCTGCTTTTGAGATGGCTGCAAAATGAAGGGACTTTAACACCTGGACCAACCCTCTCACTTTACAGGTGAATAAACTGCACTCCAGAAAGAATAGACTGTGGAAACTAGAGTCCCTAGAGCAAAGGCGGAAGGGACACCTGGCTCATATTATAACCCTGGATGCCATTCTACTTTTATCTTTCTAATAAATGTTTCCTAGAAGCCCATGCTCAGAATGGAATAGATATAAGAACATATCTATTACATGTGAATTAAGCTTGTTCCCTAACTTGAACTAATAAATAAAAAAAGAACATATCTAGCCCACTGTGTACAACTACTTCCCCTTCTGGCAACTAGAAGGTAATATGTTGTTCAAACAAGTGTTTATAGAAGCAATTATGAATTTTTAGGGTGCTCTCACTCCTAAAAACCAAATAAATAAATAAACTACCAACCATCCATTAATGGTCTTCTCAAGATACTGAGGACAATGTCACAGATATGGCTGAGGCTAAAACTTCTGTTCCATCACCTGGTGTGGATGGAATCTGCTGTCCCTATACCCATTTGGGGGAAAATAGGTGGGTCACAGGGATTTAATCACCCCAGGCTTCACTAAGTGAAGTTAGAATGTTCACCTCTGTTTTAAGTTGGGTGTTTTTGTGTTTCTGGTTTTGTTTTGTTTTGAAACAGGGTCTTACTATGTAATGCACACTGGACCTAAATTCCCATGTAGTCACCATCAGGTGAACTGAACTCTCTTCCTCCACTGTTGCTAGATCACAGGTGTGTGTTGCCTCCCGTGGTTTCTGCTGTGCTGAGGATCCAGCCAGGCTTTCATACACACCTGGAAAGCCCTCTAAAACTGAACTATATCCACAGCCTGAATTATAGCATATATGTGTCACTCACACTGGCTTTCTGTCTGCTTCCAGGATTTTTCCTGGTCCCGGCACCCCTCTCTTAGGTCATTTCTCTCTGATGGTTTGAAAAGCTGCCTCATATCTTTCAGTCTCCAGCTTGAATTCCTTATGTAGAACATCAAATTCCTAGTCAAGTTGCATCCTTGAATAGCTCATTACAAAATAACTCTTATCTCAAAAGTAGCCACTAATAGCATGCCATACTTTAGGAGCCTGCAGAATGCTGCACTTGGGTCTTTTGACACGTAACAAATGGAAAACATACATTCAATTCATAATAGTTAAAGTGAAAAAATGTGAACACTTCTTAGTGATTTGTCTACCTATTCTTTGTTGAGATTACAATACTTACAATGTGTTATATATAGTGCTGTCTAGACTCCAATTCAAGACCTTCCACAGCTCCTGAGCGCTAAGCTAAACT